TAACAAAAAAGTTTTTATATTTTCTCAAATATACTTTCTTTATCAATAAAACAAAAATTATACTATTTTATCATTATTAAGTAATTTTACAAACCTACATATCAGTTAAGATATGTGGTAATTTTAATAATACTAAGCACTAAACTCATCATATTAGTTCTTTAACTTAGACTGTTATGATTAAATATAACTCATCATTTAACAATGGGTTTTATATCTAGTATTTATATATAATCATAATTATTTGAAGGAGGAGGAAAATTTTACTGTTTACAAAAAATTAGCTGATAAATGACACTTCTCTTATTAATAAATTATTTAAAAGAAAGTATACATGTTGTATATATGTTTTATTGATCTTCTCTTTATTATGAAATTTCTTACAATTAAAAACAATATGTTCCAGGTAGTTCATATATTATTAGCAATGCTATATATCCTTTTAAAACTTATTTAATGAAACCATTTCTTGATCATAATTTATTAACTAGTCATAAATAATAATTTAACAAAAAGCTTTCTTCAATGAGAATGTGTATTGAAAGAGCATTTGAACATTTAAAAAGAAGGTTAGAAATTTTGTTAAATAAAATCTATTGTATAGATTTAAAACAAATTGTTTGAATTAAGGATTGGAATTGGTTTGGCCAACTAAAAAATTTATATAGTAAGCTACAATGAATTAGTATTACCTGATAATAATAGTTATAAAAATAATGATGATAGTAAATTTACAATTAATAATGATAATAAAAATGAGGAAGTATTTATTACAAATATAGGAAGATACAGAGTGGTGAGAATACACAAAAGAGAATATTTAGCAAATCTTTTAGTTTAAAATAGCAATAATTATATATTTTATCAGTTACATGATTTGTCACATCCAAAATTTTATCATATGATTTTCATAAATTACACAATTCAACGAATTTACAATTTTTGATTTATCGCCCAAAACCCTAGTCAAAATATACAACATTTCTTAAACAACGTTGTTGCTGAAGTTTCGACAAATCCAAAGGTATAAAGAATATAAAAAATAAACTTTTCCTTGTGAAGTTACGTGTCTTTGAAAGTGAGCAATTATTTTACCTACTTCTGCTTGATTCTTCTCAGGTTCATGAACTTTTCAACATAAAGAGTAGTTTATTAGGTGTGCCAAAGCAAGAGCTTTCACCAAAATGCATGTGTGAAGGGTCAGTGCATTATAAATGTATTGGAGAAAATCAAGAAAAACTATTTTCTAGTAAGTAGATCACTTATTAATTCAATGCTCTTATATTATTCTTGCTTGCAAAAAGGTATTTTTTCAAGCAGCTCTGATATTTTATTGTATATATTTATTAATAAGTTAATCTATTTACTCAGGTCTATAGTTGTATTTTACAGTAGCTACGATAGATTATATGGGCTTGGTGTTGGGAAAAGGGACAAAATTGACAAAAAAAAATCTCTTACAAAAAATCAATTATCTCATGAGCTATTGATCAGAATCATATAATTTTGGTGTCATTCAATTCGACTCATTGAGACGAATTGAATAACACCAAAATTATGTGATTCTGATCGATAGCTCATGAGATAATTGATTTTTTGTAAGAGATTTTTTTTTGTCAATTTTGTTTCTTTCCCAGTACCAAGCTCGTTAATACTTCATGTCGATTCAGTGGATAAGTATAAATAATTATTTATATAAGTTATCCAAGTTTACTTTACTTGTTTAATTTAGTTTGTAGTATAAAGATTATTAATTAATCGATATATTTTAAATTAATTTCTAGATTAATATAATTGTAGTTAAAAATTTGTGAATTCGTGATGTAAAATACAGAAATACAAAACTTATACTTTGGTCAATTTTAGCAGCTCAATAAAAAATAAACCTTGTAATTATGTATTTAGAATAAGTTAAGAATAAAAATTATAAATCAGGATTCTTAATTATTTTATTATTTTTTAATTTTGAAAAATACAGTATAATTTTACTTTTTTATTTTTTTTAACATATAAGAACTTCTAATATAGTAATCTATTTATAATAAGCTTAGTTTTAACTATTGAGATTTTAAAGAATTATTAATTAAAAAATTAATTTGTTAGTAATAGTTCTTTTATCTAAATTTTAAAAAGTAGAAGTTTTAAGTTATTAAACTATACTTACAAATGGCTATACTAATTTAGCTTGCAATTACTTGTCATTTTAAAACACCTGCAATGTCTTATAACCTTTTTAACAATTTATAATTGTCAAGAGGCTTGGTAAATTGAGCTTTAAAAAGGGTTTCAAAGTAAAATAAAACAAGTACTATGTATATAAAAGTAAAACAAAATGCCAACTTTGGAGACGTGATTCTTCTCAGCTTTATTATTATTTTTCTTTAAACTTATACAACAAAGAGTATTTGTAGAAATAACTACTATACATTGTCACACAAATATGATTTCCTTTTGGAAAACCCCTAAAAATGATATTTGAAGAGGACCTACTGTTGCAATTTACTATGTAAATTAAGAATATCATATAGATGTTGATCACTTAAATTTCATAGTAAAAAATTTATCCTCCTGATCTGTGTTACAAATTGTGTAACTGTAATTATTATTTGCAATTACATTTACATAAAATAATAACAATCTATATTAAATAAAACACTAATAAAATATATACAAATAGTTTATTTAAAATTTCTTAAGAAATTGTTTAAAAATTTTTATTTGTTTTTTATACTGTTATATGAAAAATGATTTAAGTATTATTCCATCTATTACAAGTGATTAAATTTGTGGAATTAAACATTCTAAGCCTAATTATGTAAATGACAACAATAATAAAGTAATATTTAATTTTATATTTATTTATTTATTTTTTTAAATAAATCTAACTATAACCAGTAGTAATCATTACTAGGGTGCCTATATCTCAAAAACATACTAAGTAAACAGGATCGGGTTCTCTAAATAAAAATATTCAGGACCTCCAAAAATCTTATGAGAATTGAGATCAGGCCCTAACGGGCCCTTATATTAGGTCTATATTATTTTATATAAAAAAAAATAATTCTATAATTTCTAACCCTTACCCTAAAAATAATTGGGGTGGTGTTGATCACTACTGGATATTTTAAGTATATTTCTTATTTTTTAATTAATTAATTAATTAATTTATTAATTTATTAATTTATTTATTTTATTAATTAGATTGATTCTAAAAAAAAAAGTACTCATACTACTAATGAAAAAAAATCTATTGATGATATCTTAACACATATTAACAAACAAACAGAATTAATTGTTGATACTATTAAGGAGCAATATTTACATATTAGTGAAATTCAACAATAACATCATCAAAAAACTCCCATTCATTTTGTATAGCTTCTTCACCAGTATTTTTAATTATATCTTTAATATTTTGATATTTTTGATGGATAGACTCCTATTTTTGCTGAATTGAGGTTTTTGATTGCTCTTTTAATTTCAAATTTGAGGTAGAAGACTGAATGCCTGAAATTATTTTATTCCAAATATGACCCTTTTCTCTTGGATCTTTTGCTTTCTGAAATGTTTTGTAATGCTTTCCCACTCCTTCAATTAATATACATGTCTCTGATGAAGACCATCTTTTGTTGGTTTATCATTTGGTACTTCAGATGAATTAGAGTTTGTGTCTGAAGTCAAATCATCGTCAGAAACTAATTGTGAGGCTTCAAGTTTAGTCTTTGGCAATGAATTTTCTTAGTTAATTGCCTAATAAAAATTATTGTTAATAATTGTATTTACAATAAACATACTTTATATTCAGCAGCAGCTTTGTTTAAAGCTAATGGATTCATGAAAAATGGAGGAGTAGGGTATTGCTGTTGAACATATTATAGTTAGTAAAATCAGCGAATGGAGTGCTGGAAACTGCTGACGTTGATGCTTCGCTATAATTTTGATGATCAGTAACATCTGTTACTTTCTTTTGAATAGGCACTTTTGTTTTTTTTTATTTTTTGTTTTTTTTTTATGCTCAAGTATTGATTTCAATGGTTATTTTAATAAATGAGCACTATTACAATCACTCACTAATCACATTGAAATTGATGCTTGAGAAGATTATAATTATGTCATAAATTGCATATTCAAATTTTCAGTAAAAATTTTTTGTAAATATAATTATGCTTGAGCACTATTACGATCACTTGCTAATCACATTGAGATTGATGCTTGATAGCGACCTATAAAACAAAAGTTCTATTACCGACGGATTTTTCACCGAATTTAAACACAACAAAAAGCTTTATCACACAATTTTCTCAAATAAAGACCCGAATTGCTATTTAATTATCGTAATTATTCATATCAACTACATGAAACATCTAGTAAAATGAACCCAAATCTAATAAAACTAATATATTTATCGCGTCAAACCCATCTCCTATTACAAATGGTTTCTATCATATAAATATATTTCTTAAATGTAATAATATTAATACGTATATGCGTTAGATTATTTTCGAATAAAAGGTTCTCACTTATCGGGGAAACAAGATTTCAGGAAAAAGATCTTATCGAAAAGGGCCATATGTCTTGTCAGAATTAAGGGCATCAATTATGGAGTCGGAAAAATGATACTTAGATAAAGTGATTCTGAAAGTTGAGCAACAACGGGCAGTTATGACCATATGTGATTTTCCTTGCATATATGTTTACGTAACCTAATGCAAAAAATAACATACCAAAAAAATTTACAAGATTATATTCTTTAAAGATATAATAATAATAATAATATATATAATAAAATAATTATTCAAAATTAAATAAACAGTTTAATAAATATCATCTATATATAATCTATATATAATCTAGTTAAATAATATAATCTACATGTAATCTATTTTTAAAAACATATAATATTATTCCTAACAACTAAACTATTGTTTAAATCTCATCTTGTTTTTTTTTGTTATTTTTCTATTTCATTATCTTCTGAAGCCAAAATAAAGTTAATGTCTTCATCTTTAATAACAAATTTATTTTCACTTTCTATTTGTATTTGTCTTTGTCTTTCAGCAATTGAATACATTGGAATCGATTCCCATTTTAAAGATTTCTCTCTCCATGATTCTGTAATTGCTAGTTCATTATAAAAACATATATACTTTACTCTTAACTTATCTTTAAGCTTAGAATCCAAATCAGTTTGTCCCGAAAAAAAAATAGAATTTTCTTTGAATGCATAATCATAAATTAATTTGCTTTGATTAAAGATAACTGCATGTTTTCCATCTTTATCAGCATCCTCAAAGGCCGCACTTTTAATAAATTTATAATAATTATTATTAAGCAACCGATTTTTTATAGTAATATTAAACTGATATGTTGTCTAACATACCTCATAAATGAAATAATAACATTTTGTAGTATAATGACAAAAATAACATTACCAATTACACTCATGATAATGAGAGGCCAGAATCCCCAAGTATCTAACGAAACTGAATCCCAATTATATACAGTAATTATAGCACTAAAGAAGTTTGAAAATAAATTGTTCGGCTCTTCCCCAGTCATATTAAAGACCGAATCACTCCCATTAGAAACTTCATATGAAGTTGGAGATTGACTTAGCCGCATAACCAAGAGAAATAAATCTGCATATAAATATATCTTAGTACAAATTTAAAAGATTGTTTATTTATAGTCAACTTACAATGCATGTCCCTGAAAATGAAAAATAAAAAATTAAATATAAGAATAATACATAAAATTATAAACGATAATACAATAAAAGAATTAAATTAGAGATACAACCATTGCAATTACGGTTAAAGCAAAAAATAATAAAAACAACCGTATTTTCGCAATAATACTATAAAGAATATTTAGGTAATGTGCAAACCCTAATATCCAAATATTAATAAATGTAAATTTGAGCCAATTTAAATTAAAAAATTAATGTTTATACAATACCCGGAACAAAACGTAATAATAGAACCTAACAAAAATATCATAAACAAAGTATATATATAAATAATAATAATAATAATAAATTATTAACTTACGAGTTCATACCAAATGCCTAAAATACTTATAAAAATGATAAATGACATAATGATGCTACTTTTAGCATATTTAAATCCATCCTCAAATGTATAATATTGTGTCATAATATAAACAGAAATAGTTAATGGTAAAAAAAAAGCAAAAAGGTCAACCCAATTAAAAGGATCTTTGCAATATTTTGATATGTCATGTTTAAATATTCTAAAACGTAGTTGTTGGTATTCAATCATGAGATGGTAATAATTCGAATAAAAAAATAGTAAAATGGTTAAAAACACCAGAATATGTTGAAATTCACCAGTAACTTGAATGTGTGCAATAAACATCCAGGAAATAATTGAATAAGATAAAAGATATAATATATAGACGTATAAAGTTGAAGGCCAATGTGATTCAGTTGAATACCACATCACATGAAATTTATAATGGCCTCCATGGATGGGTTATAATAAAAAGGATCATCATAATTATTTTCAACTGCATTTATGAGAAAAAGAAAAGGATTATAGTGCTTATCCAGATATACAAATTCACTAAGGCGGAAAATAGATTTTAAAATATTCAGGTATTTGTTTCCTCTTCTTTCCAACAATTCATTACTTGTCGTGAAATCAATTAAAGGCACCATTCTAATATCAGGAATTTTATCAAGGCTATTATTTAAAATTGAATTGAATTAGTAAAATAAGCACCCTCATACTTTACTTCGGGGTTTCTCTTTGTTTCAGAATCTTTAATTTAGTGCTCAGACTTAGTGATTTCAGAGATTTATCATTGTTAAACAATGCAAAATCCTTGAAAGAGCACAAAGCTGGGCACCCTCATCTATGGAAGTGATATAATGAATGATATTTTCCTATTTGGATCTTGCATTTTATGTTCGTTTATATAAATTGTACTATAAATTTTATTTGACCTAAAAGTATCCGAAATTAAGCATCTCTTCTAACAAAAAGGGTGCTTAATTTTGGAACAATACGGTAATCATATCTCAAATCTTACCTGATTTCTCTTGCTTCCAAAACGGATTCTTCTGGAACTGTGTTATGGGTACAAAAACCTCCAAAAAATTATTTAAAGATGGTGAAATTTCAAGAAAATCAAAAAAGGGTATATCTAATACTTTTGCACAGAAGCAGGGTTTATAAAATAATATTTGAATATAGGACTTATAAACCCCTGTAAAAAAAAAAAAAAGACAAACATTTGAGATATCAATACGTAGATTAAATGATAAAATGCACATAACTGACCATAATTTTTATTCTTTTCATCATATAGCTCTGGTATAATTTCACCAACTGTAATCATCCACCCAATTTCATCGACTGCTTTATTAGAATAATACTCTAAAAAATATCCTAGAAAGATTGGATCATCATCTAACAAAAAAGGATTAAAAAATTAACATCTTAAGATGTGAAACGCGTTTACAGCTAATTAGTACAAATTTAAATAAGCCAACCTAAAAGTGCTTTACGAATTGTATTGTTTCCACCTTCCCACGAATAATATTGTGGCATGTGGAGTGATTTCTCATGCAATGATCTATTTTGCTCTGGCTTTATGTCTTGTGAAAGTTGTTTATAAATTTCAAATTTGGATGCTATACTATTAAGGGTTTTAAGAATATAGTTTTCGGGATCATCGACATCATTGGCAGCTTTTTTTTCATTAAATAATATATATTTTATAAGTGAATATCCCTCGCTTCGATGAGAGTGCTCAACAAATCAAAGCGAAAATCTAATAATCGCCAAACAATCGGATATAGCTGAATAAATTTTACAATAATGTTTCGTGTTTGTTTGACTATCTCTTTGAATTTTAAAAGATTTTCATTGACTAAAATCCTAGAGTAATGAGGTACTAAATATACCCGATATAAATATTTAAGCGTGTGACAAGCTTTTTTTACTGCATTAATTACATCAATGTCATCTTCCATTTCAATTAATTTAGAATTTTCACTTTGAATTGAAAGTTTAAATTTTCTGATTCCATACTCGAATCTTTTAACATTATTATCTCTTTCATTTGAGTTTTCAATACTATCGATCACACTAATGAATTCAAGAGTTTTTTTTTCATCTCGATCATGCCAAATCTGGATTGTCTGTCGTCCAATCAAAAGTAAAATTTCCTTTTTTTTATCGAGAAAAACCGAATGCTGTGGGCCTCCATGAGATAGCCAAGGTTCAAATATTTTATAGAATTCTGATGTTTGACGATAGTCTCCTTTTTGCGATAGAACCTTCAAGTCTTGTTCGTCATCATTCCTCTTTAAATGCTCTAAGATTAAATTATCATATATTCGCTTATATTCAGAAAGACTACCTTGTTTCTCTTCTTTGTTATTAACAACGAGTTCGATCTCTCCAGTTGATAATCAGGTTTTTCAAACAAATTACTTTTAATTTTAAGATCAATTTCAATCTTATTTTCGAGTTTAACTGATTTTTGTATTGTGCCGAAAATATTCCAGATTGACCATTTATTTTCTGATTGATATATTAATAATTTCTCATCACCGCTAAAAAAATGCATGAAAGACTCAATAGAAGAATCGCCAGTCTCTAGCCCTATAGATGCTATCTCAAAACCACACTCAATCAAGAATAATTTGACCCTACTTCCAGATCTATATGCTAATAATTTGCTATTATTTGATATTGCGAAATTATCAGGAACATCTGCCATGAAATCTAGTTCGTATAAAATTTGTCTATGAAAGGTAATTATCAATTGGTTTGTTTTTAAATTGTAAAGCTCCATGTATCGCGCACCTCCACGTATAGTATCTACGAAAAAATAATGCTTATCTAAACATCTTAGAATATATTTCAAATTCAAATTTGCAAGCACAAGTTTCCCATCACGACTCATAGGATTATCTAATTTGCTATTATTAATCATGGCACTATATATTCGCTTTGGATATTTTAATTTTTGAATTTCGCCAATAGATCTGCGTTTCAAGTGTACAAAATGATACTTATAAATCCCAGAAACATTTAAAATAATAAGAAAGTACTTATCCATATTTTGATTATCGGTCTCTTTGATATCCATATTCAGGTTATCATCATCGTTCTTTTTGATATCCGTATTCTGGTCCTCGTCAGTCTTTTTAATATCCATATTTCGGTCGTTCATATCTGTCTTTTCATTATCTTCATTTTTTGAAAACAATTTGACTACTCCACCATGTTCAAATTGTAACAATGCTTCTTTTTCAATTGAATAATCTTTGTTAATAGAGTAAACGATAGTAAATCCAGGTATTTTAGGGTCTTCAATAAATTTTTTAAGTGTCATATCATGACTGTTTATACAAGATATTGCTAATAATCTAACAGTTGCTTTATATGACTTGAGACTGAACAATTTATCTGACACAGCAATAGACCAACTCAATCTGTTACCTTTGGACGTAATCAACTCGGTTTGCTCTTTCGTAAATTCTAATGTTTCGGAGATGAAAACACATGAAAGTTTTCTGGATGATAAATTATCATCATATTTCAGATCCGGGTCCGTGTAGTCATTTTCATTCAACTTCTTATTAACATTAAGCATGCGAAATTTGAATTTCGATTTGAATCCTGATTCGTTCGATTCATTTTTCAATAATACGGTAAATCGAGAAGTCATTAAGTCATTATAAATTAAAGAATATGTTATTAGTAGAGTTCAAATCCATTAACGTTAAGTATTATCTGGATAAATACGTATTAGATATCTGGATCTTAATTTATTCGAATATTCATTTACTATTCATTTGCTATCGATATCCGGATAATTATCCGATTTCCGGATATCTAAGCGATTTGAATTATCTGAATAATTAGATACGGATAAACGGATGTCGGATTTATCCGGATTGGAACTCTAGTTATTAGAACGTATTACAATAAATAGTTTTCTGCAGAAATTTTACCAAATTCGACTATGAAATCGCCTTTTGGACTAATAGCTATATATAGTTCTTTCATTTTTTCTTCTTCTTTCCTTTCATCTATTTCTTTAACGTCGACAATAACGTCTTCAGGGCTTTTAGTTGACATACGTATTAAGATAATTTCTTGATGTTTAAAGATTTATATCATTAACTATATAATTATTAATCAATTAAACTACAAAATAGCCAAGGATTGTAAATTTGGGATTTTATTTATATAAATTTCAAATTCTATAAATTAAGTCAAAAATTTTACGAGTCTCTAGAATTGAAATTTCTGTGGCTTAAAATTTTGAAAATGTAGCTGTTTTATTTTTAATCATATTTGGGTTACGCCACTGTTATGTCAAGGGAAACCAAATTCTGTACCTTCAAGTTTATCATTTATTATCAGCTAGAAGCATATTTGGTTTGTAAATATATTTAATTGCATAACATAATGTTTTGCCTTTAGGGCTGAATCTGATAAACAATAAATAATAAACTTGAAAGCCCGAAGTCAGGTTTTCCTTGGCGTCACTAACTTATAATGGCTGTTCAATTTTTTTTCCGTCAAGCCATTTCTTTTTATTTGCTTTTATATCAACAAATCTATAAATAAACGCTGGATATAATATTCGGTGGCATACTGTTAAAATTAATTAAAGGTCGGACCCGGGTCGACATAATTTCAAATTCGGGTTGTAATAGACATGAATAAGAATTGTCGAGGGATGAAAATTTATCATTTTACTAGATTAGAAAAAACCATGATTTATAAGTGCAATGTGCTTCAAATCAATGGATAACACTTTTATCTCATACAAAATCATAAGCAATTAGCTAAAACAATACTTAAATTTAAAAATAAGATAAAGAATAGCATGCCAATACAGAGAGTCTTTAGAATTAGATGAGAATAATTTTTTGTAGGAAGAAAAACCATATGCTAAACGAATGTGAAGATTTCTTGAATGATTATATTAGCACAGTAACTATATTATAAATATTCTATAATATAAAGCATAACATGAGAGCACAGAAATTCCAATAAAGGAAACGCTAATAAATTTTTCATAAAAATAAATCCTTTTTTATCAGTCACAATTATGGATCTATAAAAATACAATTTATATCACGAGCCTTTTGATCAAATATTGTGAGTTATTCTTAAATTTACAAATGATCTTAAAGCACTACTGCTACTGCTACAGCAGCTATATGACACGTATCATTGTAGTACCATGATAAGATTAAAGTCTGAATCCAGTTTATTTTCTTTACAACATACACTAAAACTGACAAAAGCTGGTTGATAGTACTAACTTCAATTTACCTTTTACAGACAACTAATAAGGAAATCTTGTGTGCGTAGTAATACAAAGCCACGCTGCGGTATGTAATAGTTGAGTAATTTACAATGAGGGTTACAGTGGTTATTTTTATACTCAAAAGAGGACTTATGTATTATGTATGTATCATTATTTAAAAAGAATTACTTTATTATTTTCTTATTTGGGCATAGTCTGGAATAGAGGTTGGATCCTTTGAATATCATCGGGAAATTTTTTTTATTGCAGTTCTGCGCAAATTTGCAAAAAAATTAAATAATAAATCAAATGAAAATCTGCGCAAAACTTCAAATTTTATACTATAAATGCAGAAATTAGATGCAATTCTGTGCAAAACTTCAAATTCTAAAAAATTTTGCAGATTTTTTACAACAATTCTTCAAAAATCTGCAAAAATACAGATTTTTGCAAATTTGCTCTTATTTAATTTTCCCGATGATCCATCATAGCTTTTCAAATATTCGTGGGATTGTTGTTTACGAATAGCATTGAATGAATATCCAGATTTTGAATGGATATCCATCTATTATTGTAACCATGAATATTCACGCACAAATATTCATGAATATAAACGAATTAATTATATACCCTCCATAAATTTTATGTAGCCGAATATTGGATATTCGATGAATATCTATTTCAAACCGTGAATATTCATGGATCCGACCTCTAGTCTGGGAAATGATTATCGTGGCGTAGTGGAGCCTATGACTCACGGAGGGAGTTAAAAGCTTCCAGTGGAGTTTAAGACTCCAGGCTAAATTTACGGATAGGTTTCAGTCTTCGAAGGGAATAACGATTGTTAGAACGATTGTTAATAATATTTAGTATTATTGTAATACACCGATGTATTGATTTATGTTAATAAAGAAAACCTTATGTGTGTTAGCTTATCGATTTAAACAATTTGACCTTAATCAGTCGTAACAAAGTTAGGATCAGATGATCGTCCGGAAAGTTAGGTCGAAACAGTATGAAGTGTCGGAACTATAAACAAAACTTACAATCAAGTTAACATTATTAATAAAATATATGCAGATAGTTTTTTCTATAACAACGGGTCGGTTCTGTCCATAGAAAAAATTTCGCTATACAAAATTACTACTTTTTATAACGAACATAAAATTCAAAATTTTTTAGTCCGTTATATCCAGAACACGTTATAGAGAGGTGAGAGTTGTCTGTAATTTATAAAATAAATTAGGCATTAATAATAAGTCAATAACTTGTTATTTATTCATACTATCGATTATAAAATTTAATAGTATTGCAAAAGGTACATCCAATGTTTTTTGTACTTCTACGGGCATCTATCAATAAACGGAATAATGAAATATTTAGTGGTCAACTTAATGGAATAGCAAACATGCTAAGCGTGAAAATAAGCAATTTTCAACCATCTAAAAAAGATATTTGAAAATTAGGTGGTATTTTATAATTTTATAGTATTATAATTCATAATTCGGAATTTATTTAATAACTACATAGTAACGAAGATCTAAGTAGCGTATAATATCTAATAAAAGTTTTCAGAGTATTATTTGAGACATTAAGAATAATAGCCAACTTCTTGCCGACATTAAACATTTTAAAAAAGGATACAAATCATCTGAATCCTATCGATGGGCAAGTTGGAATCCTATCCATTTCAACAAATTCCTCATCACAACTAACGAACATTCGATAGGCCAAAGATTAGAATTCAGTCCACATAAATTCAAGAAAATCTTGTATGAAAAAAGAAATATCTATCCATCCGAAATGAGAGGAGTAAGTGTACAGTCTATAGTAAATTCCGGAAATAATGAGCTGTATTCTATGTAAAAAGAGGTATAGTTTCTTAAGAAAACATAGTAAGCTTTAAAACGAACTTTTTTTTACAGTAGAACCAGCAAATTTGTTATAGATGTACATAATTTATCGGAGAACGTCACAGAAAACAAACCAAACAACTAATAAGGAATAAACTAGAGTTATATTGAAATTCAAATTTATTTTATTAATTGTAAACATATATAAATATTACTTTATATCATCGTTATTAATCGAAAAATAAAGCCAATATTAGTAAAAAATAAAAATAAATAAATGAAATATAAAAATAAAAAAATAAAATAAAAAATAAAAAATAAAAATAAAAAAAGGATTTATTTCCGGACCATCATCCGGACAATCATTTTCCAGGTGCAAAAGGCAAAAGCCAAATGAATCCAAAGAGCATTCGTAACTCTCTGCGCACTAAAAAGTTTTCGCACGAAAACTCTGGTATTTTACTAACAAGAACTTTAAACCTAATCGATAGAGAAATTTCTTAATTATACAAAATCTTATAACGTGACTTAAATAATACATTGGATCAAAGTTTTGCTCTCAATAATTCATCAAAATAAAAAATAGTGTAACTTCTAAATA